TGAAGGAATTGTATCTTTAAAATTTTTTGAAATCACTACCCAGACACTTAGCAGTGCTAACGGGAATAAACTAGATGTTAAGTATAAATTACCAAATGCACAGATATGTGTCCAGGGAATTTGTATTCCTATTCCTTGTGTTTTAGTAAAAAAATTTATCCCAAGATGTTATACTAGAGACTCCTTTTTTACATCAAATAATGCCTATTAACCAAGTTGATACTCAAAGTATTAAAGCTACTTATAAAAATAATGAAATTATGTTTGAATTTATATCCGATCCTCAAACTCGTTTATTAAACGAAGTAAGAAAAGTAATTCTTAAAGAAAATCAAATTAATTTTCTTGATCCTCAAACTCGTTTATTAAACGAAGTAAGAAAAGTAATTCTTAAAGAAAATCAAATTAATTTTCTTAAAGAAGAAGTTTTGTTTGTTCAAATAGAAGAACAAATTAAAATGAAACAAGAATTAATAACTCAAATAGAAAAAGAAGTTTTGTTTGTTCAAATAGAAGAACAAATTAAAATGAAACAAGAATTAATAACTCAAATAGAAAATAAATTTAAAATTACGATATGTAGTAATATACCTAATGCTTTTTGGGAAAGAAAGAAACATATTGTTTCCTTGTCATATATAGATGGTTTTAATGAAAATGATATTCCTACTAAATCTAGGCCTTGCCAGATGAATAATGAATATCTTAAGTTATGTAAAAATGAGATAAATTCTCTTATAGAGAAAAACTTAATAAGGAAATCATATTCTCCTTGGAGCTGTACATCATTTTATGTTAATAATGCTGCAGAACAAGAAAGAGGAGTACCTCGTCTTGTCATAAATTATAAACCCCTTAATTCAATTCTCAAATGGATAAGATATCCTATTCCGAATAAAAGGGATTTATTGAATCGCATTAATAATGTGAAAGTATTTTCTAAATTTGATTTAAAATCAGGATATTGGCAAATACAAATTAACGAAAAGGACAGATATAAAACTGCTTTTGTTGTTCCATTCGGACATTATGAATGGAATGTTATGTCTTTTGGGTTAAAAAATGTCTCTTCTGAATTTTAGAATATTATGAATGAGATATTCATTCCTTATACTGATTTCATCTTATCATATATAGATGATATATTAATTTTTTCTCAAAACTTTGACCAACATGTGAAACATTTAGAAGTTTGTAGAAATTTAGCGAAAAGTAATAAAAACTTCTAAATGTTTCACATGTTGGTTAAAGTTTTGAGAAAAAATTAATATATCATCTATATATATGATAAGATGAAATCAGTATAAGGAATGAATATCTCATTCATAATATTCTGAAATTCTGAAGGGGCATTTTTTAACCCAAAAGACATAACATTCCATTCATAATGTCCGAATGGAACAACAAAAGCAGTTTTATATCTGTCCTTTTCGTTAATTTGTATTTTCCAATATCCTGATTTTAAATCAAATTTAGAAAATACTTTCGCATTATTAATGCGATTCAATAAATCCCTTTTATTCGGAATAGGATATCTTATCCATTTGAGAATTGAATTAAGGGGTTTATAATTTATGACAAGACGAGGTACTCCTCTTTCTTGTTCTGCAGCATTATTAACATAAAATGATGTACAGCTCCAAGGAGAATATGATTTCCTTATTAAGTTTTTCTCTATAAGAGGATTTATCTTATTTTTACATAACTTAAGATATTCATTATTCATCTGGCAAGGCCTAGATTTAGTAGGAATATCATTTTCATTATCTATATATGGTAAGGAAACAATGTGTTTCTTTCTTTCCCAAAAAGCATTAGGTATATTACTACATATCGTAATTTTAAATTTATTTTCTATTTTGTTTCTTTCTTTCCCAAAAAGCATTAGGTATATTACTACATATCGTAATTTTAAATTTATTTTCTATTTGAGTTATTAATTCTTGTTTCATTTTAATTTGTTCTTCTATTTGAACAAACAAAACTTCTTATTTAAGAAAATTAATTTGATTTTCTTTAAGAATTACTTTGCTTACTTCGTTTAATAAACGAGTTTGAGGATCGGATATAAATTCAAAAATAATTTCATTATTTTTATAAGTAGCTTTAATACTTTGAGTATCAACTTGGTTAATAGGCATTATTTGATGTAAAAAATGAGTCCCTAGTATAACATTTTGGGATAAATTTTTTACTAAAACACAAGGAATAAGAATACAAATTCCCTTGACACATATCTGTGCATTTGGTAATTTATACTTAACATCTAGCTTATTCCCGTTAGCACTGCTAAGTGTCTGGGTAGTGATTTCAAAAAAATTTGAAAGTACAATTCCTTCATTAATGCAATTTAAGTCTGCACCACTATCAACCAGGGCTATAAGATCTGGTATAAACATTTTCTCAAATATGGCTAGAGTAATTTTTATGTATCATTTTTGAGAGGTAACTTGTTTAAGGATTTGTAAAAAATCTGAACTTTCGATATCTTTTTCTTTATCAGAATTGTCTTCTAATAGGACAAGAGATTTTTTTATTTTCTTCTTGTTCATTAATTTTATTAAGAATATATTTATTTTCTTGTTTTAAATTTTTAACCTCTTTTTTAAGATCTTGAATTTCTTTCTTTAGATTAGATAAAGAAAGAGGTTTAGATGTTGAGGTCTGACTTTTTTGTCTTTTTAAAATTTCAGACATAGAATAAACATTTTCAATGTTAGGTTTATCTATTTTCTCTTTTATTTTTAAGAGAGAATCTATGAGTTCTTTCTTACCCGTAGCAGTACTTATACCCATTTCCATGCAACTTAGCATGGCACACAAATTGTGCGGTACCTTGGCCGGTTTACTACATAACCTGCAGCCAGTGTGAGGGATTACCCAACAGTAGCACTTGTATCTTCCATTTTACATCAAACTATCTAATAGTTGTTTTAAAAGAAATATCTTTTACTAGGAAACCGTTGGGCAGCTGAAGTTATGTTATATAGTTGACTTAGGAGCTTCAATGTGTAAGTTGGCATATTCATGTTATATAATTGATTTAGAAGCTTCAGTGTTTAAACTAGGCATATTCAACTAGCATGTTCCTAATATGAGTTGTTTATTCATGAAGGCTTAGAGATTGTGTTTATGGTAGAGTTATTTGATATTGTAAGCTGTGTGTGATACTTCAAGATTTAGTCCCATATTGGATATTGATTGAGTGATTGCATGGTTTATATGATGGGTCTTGTGAGCCAAGTGTAACATTGACTAGTCAATTTTGACAGTGGATTGAGCCAAACCATGTGTCGCTCTTAGTGGGTCCTAGGGTTTACATTGCGCCAGAATAGTTAGCCAGGTGGAAATGTGGAGCTAAGTGCTACATTGCGTGAGTTCGGTAGGAGCCATCTTTGGAAGCTTGTAGGAGTCACCTGTAGAGTCCACATCGCTTATTGATATTGGGACAAACCAATTGTTATGTCGCGATGAGGACGTCGTATAATTAACATAGGGGTGATTGTGATACCCCAAGATTTAGTCTCACATCGGATATTGATTGAATGATTGAATGATTTAAATGATAGTCTTGAGAGCCAAGTTCAGTGGATTGGGCCAAACCTTGTGTTGCACTTAGTGGGTCCCAGACTTACATTGAGCCAATGGGCTTGCAAGCCTGGGGTGACACTGTGTTTCTGATTATTTTGTCGTCATTTTGTCGAATGAAAAATAGTTCTGGAGTTTTAGGTCCATGCAATGTGTGAGCTGTTGATGCTTACAAATTTAGCATGCCCAAGGCCGAGTGCTTACGCCGAAAGAAATGGGTTGGCGTGGTATTCCACTAGAGAGGTTAATCTCTTGTTCCACGGGAGAGGCCATTGTCGTGGCACACAAAATGTGTGATGGGCATATATCAATATTGGGCTTCCTTTGGCCACTTTACTGCATGAGCTGCAATAAGAGAGAGGATAGGCCAGCAGATGACCTAAACTTTCATGCTTTGCATAGATCATTTCATAGTTGTTTTGAGAACTATTTTTTATTGAAGTATTTGGTAGGTTACATTATATGATTGGTGACTGAGTGCCTAATAGGTAGACGTTGACTGGTTATTGTTGATTTTTTAATCTGTGCCAGAAGATTTAATAGTTAACCCTAAAGGAAAGATTTTGAAAGGAGATATCTTTCTGGTAGAGTTGCTTTTTTGTTTCATTCAAAACTGCTTCTGGTTACTTTTTTGAATATCTCCGAATTAAAAGCAGCTTTAGAAGCTTTAGATTTATAGATGTACAAGCAAACTGCTAGAAAAGTAATATTTCCTATATTATATGGACATGGATACACCAAAATGGACACAATACACATCACACAGAAGATTCTAATATTAATCATGGTGCAAGTGTTTGATGTACATGTCAGACATGTATTCCACACAACATGGCATCATAACAAAGTTGCCTTACTACATTGTACATGCTCAAGCCCAAGAGCTCTGCTGCTACAAAGAAATGGGGGTGTCATGGTATCCCCAGTGAGGATAAATTGTATGGGGGGTATGCCAATATTTGGCTTCCTTTGGCCCCTTTACTGCAATAAACCGCAACCTGAGAGAAAGTGGTCAACATTAGGGTTTTTCCTGGTTACTCTAAAACATTTAATACCAGTCAACTAGAAATTTTTTAGATATTTAATTGTAATCACCGCAAGCATTCTCAAGGAGGTTTATTTGGAATCTTTCTTTGTTTAACTTTGAAGGGGGTATTTTCACATGTAATTAGTGCCTGTTATATGGTTAGTTTGATGTAGTTGTCTTTCGGCTGTTGTGGATTGAACTTATCCTCTATTATAATTAGAGACCTCTTATGACGCTATTGTTGCAAAGTTGTAGAGAGCAGAGGTTTAACAAATTTAAACAGAAGCTAATCAAACTAAAAATGTCAAAGTTCTTTCTCTAGAGTCTGATACTCAAAAATGTGGTTTCTTTGCATTGACCCTTCTTGTTCGGGTGACCTTTGCAGGTTCGTGGTGTAATGGAGAAATATCCACCATACCAGTCAATCTTTGCAAAACTATCTTATGGAGAAAGTCAGATGCTTGACAAAGCATTCTATGAAGAGGAGGTGAAGAGGCTCTGTTTGGCTTTCGAACAGCAGGTACAGTTGAGACTGACACATATAATCAACTTTTCACATTTTTTGTTTGTAAAAATGTGGACTGGATCGGTTAAGAATTCTGCATGCATAAGCTTGATGGTAATGATCTTATTTCAGTATGTTGTCCATTCAGCTCCTTTTTTCTAGACATTTGCCATTTTGTTTGACTTTGGAGATAAAATTCTCTGGAGTCCATAATTTCTCTAGCAAGCAGTATGGCACTACGAATAGGGATGGCAGGTTGACACCTGGTGTAAGACTATGTCAAATCTTTCCTGATCATGGATCCATATCTGGATTCTTTTTTTAGAAAAGGATATCCGGACCTTTTCTTTTTTGAGAAAAGGCTTAGATGTCATCGGTGTTAGTTGTTATGATAAAGGCTTATAAGTTATAACTAATGGGTGACTGCGCCTGATCTCGATGATTCTTTCTTTTGATGGTTGATATTGAACAGACTTGGTTTGTTCCTATTGCACCATCTAGAATCGGATGCTTCCTCTTGAATTTTGATGTAATATATGTTTTTGTTTCTGACCTTCCTGTTCTATCATTGACAATTTAGTCATCAAGTCACGATAATAATGACTATTATTTCTTCATACTATAATATGTTTTTTGGGTACTTAGTGATTTAGCTTTCGTTTCTACTGGTTATCAGATCTTTAAGTTTGAGTTCCGACCTAAATTTTCTCCAGATAGTTTCTCCTATAGTTGCCCTTAATGGTACCTTGTTCTTTCTTTTCCTTTTTTTTTCTTTTTGTTTGGATATCATTATAGGAAGGAGAGGGAGACGTGTGACATATCAGGAATATTGTTACGCAGATCACTATTATCTATCAGTCATTACTTTCTATCAATTGTGTTGTATTGCTCTGATATGTCAAGTGTCATCCTGTCTTTCCTCCCTACATGACATTCTATACTTCATAGAGGACCCTCGAAAAGATTTTTTCCATTGTTTTGTTCACTACAGTCTTTCTGATCTCGCACTTGTTGTCTGATGCAGTTCCACTATGCTGTTTTCTTTGCGTATATGAGATTGAGGGAGCAGGAGATTAGGAACCTAATGTGGATATCAGAATGCGTGGCTCAGAATCAGAAGTCAAGGGTCCATGACAGTGTCGTGTTCATCTTCTAAGTCAGTTCTATCTCAAATCAGTTGAGAACTCAACCATTTTATATTTTGCTGCATAGTCAAAATAATAAAATGCAAATATTTGTTGCTGGAAATGGGAGAGAAATCAAGCTTTTAGGCAATATTTCTTTTCTTATGGCTTGTGTATTGTATATTATAAGCTTATATTCTTGCTGTCAATAATCAGTGGCGGTTGTTCTATGTACATCTCTCAAGTTGGAGATGGATTTATACGTAAGCTGGACATGAAAAAGAAGAACATTTTTATATTATCTTCTCAAAGCTTTGGTTCATATTTGTAGTTTGTCATCTTACTGGATAATGACCGTGTAGATATTTGCTTTGTGCCACTTTGAAATTATAAATGACCGTGTATTCTAATACTTTATCCCTTCTCCTAAAGGATGCTTTCTTCTACTGTTGATAACTGTCATGATCTATTTAGAATTGTCTTCTGCAATGTTGGTAAATAATTTTATTACGCATAGACTATAGATGACTTTAAAGAAGAAAATTTTTCTGAAGATGCAATGGGCTTAGAATGTTTACCAATTGTAATATATAAAATTTGTTTAATTATAAATGACAACTAAAGTATGTGCATGTTTAAGTTTTATGCACAGTTTTTCCCCTCATGAACACCACATTTAAAATAGGTTGAATCAATAGAAACCACCTTTGAAGTTTTTCTTATACATAAATCATCTTAAAAGTGGCTTTAGGGCTTGTTTGGTTTGCTGCAAAAATAAAATGCAGCAAATGTTGCATGCAACATTTGCTACAAGTAATCAACTTCAACTTCACTCTTTGGATGTTTGTAAATATATTCTAGAAAATGTATTTTCAATACAAATTCAATGTTTGGTTGAAAATAGTTATTGCAAAAGCTACATAATTTTGCCATACATAGAAACTTGGAAAATTTGTGTCAATGCCCTAAAAGTAAAAACTTAATGTGCTCCAGCCTCGTTGACTTTTTCCCATATGTTTTAGTCCTTAAATTGGAGATCTATGTTCTGCAGCCCTTCTTTAGCAATTATAACCTGTCAACTAAGCATATAGAGAGAATAAAAAATAAAAAACCCAAAAATGCACTTATCTCCTCTATTCTTTTATGTTAAGTCTAAAAGCAAGTTCAATTAGACTTAACATGAAAGACTAATTTTATTTTAAGTTCAATTTAATTCATGTTAAGCCTAAATTAATTCCTTTTAAGTCTAATTTATATTATTTTATGTCTAATTCAACTTGTTTCAAGTCTAATTTAATTCATGTTAAGTCTAATTCAACTTGTTTTAAGTAATTTCATATTGAGTCTAATTTAATTCCTTTTAAGTCTAATTTAAATCATGTTTTGTCTAATTCAACTTGTTTTAAGTCTAATTTAATTGGACTTAATATGAAATTAGACTTAAAAAAAAAAGTTAAATTAGACTTAACATGATTTAAACTAGACTTAAAAGAAATTTAACATGATTGAAATTAGACTTAACATGAATCAAATTAGACTTAAAATAAGTTAAAATAGACTTAACATGATACATGTTAAGTCTAGTTCAACTTGTTTTTAGACTTAAAATAAATTAAATTAGACATAACATGATATAAATTAAACTTAAAAGAAATTAAATTAGACTTAACATTAACCGAATTAGACTTAACATAAATCAAATTGGACTTAACATGAATTAAATTAGACTTAATATGAAATTAGACTTAAAACAAGTTGAATTAGACTTAACGTGATTCATGTTAAGTCTTATTCAACTTGTTTTTAGATTTGAAACAAGTTGAATTAGACATAACATGATTTAAGTTAGATATAAAAGAAATTAAATTAGACTTAATATGAACTAAATTGGATTTAACATAAAATTAGACTTAAAACAAGTTGAATTAGATTTAATATAACTTAAATTGTACTTAATATTAACTGAATTGGACTTAATATGAACCGAATTGGACTTAACATGAACCAAATTGGACTTAACATGAATTGAATTGGACTTGACATATAATCCATGTTAAGTCTATTTTATTTAATTTTAAGTCTATTTTCATGTTAAGTCTAATTTAAATTAGACTTAAAATAATTTAAATCAGACTTAAAACGATTTCAAGTAGACTTAAAATGATTTAAACTAGATTTATCACGAATCAAACTGTACTTAACACGAACCAAACTGGATTTAACACGAATCAAACTGGACTTAACATTAACTAAACTGAACTTAACATAAACTGGACTTAACACTAAACTGGATTAAAATTAGACTTAAAATAAATTAAATTAGATTTAACATGAATCAAATTAGACTTAACATGAAGCAAAATTGGACTTAACATGATTCATGTTAAGTCTAATTCAACTTATTTTTAGACTTAAAATAAGTTGAATTAGACATAACATTATAAATTAGATTTAAAAGGAATTAAATTAGACTTAACATGAACCGAATTAGACTTAAGCTAAACCAAATTGGACTTAACACGAATTAAATTAAACTTAATATAAAATTAGACTTAAAACAAGTTGAATTAGACATAACATGATATAAATTAGACTTAAAAGGAATTAAATTAGACTTAACATGAACCGAATTAGACTTAACCTAAACGAAATTGGACTTAACATGAATTAAATTAGACTTAATATGAAACTAGACTTAAAACAAGTTGAATTAGACATAACATGATTTAAATTAGACTTAAAAGGAATTAAATTAGACTTAACATGAACCGAATTAGACTTAACTTAAACCAAATTGGACTTAACACGAATTAAATTGGATTTAACATGAACTAACTTGGATTTAACATAAAATTAGACTTAAAACAAGTTGAATTAGACTTAACATGATTTAAATTGGACTTAATATAAACCAAATTGGACTTAACATGAACCAAATTGTACTTAACATGATTTAAATTGAACTTAATATGAACCAAATTGGACTTAACATGAACCGAATTTGACTTAACATATAATTTATGTTAAGTCTATTTCATTTTATTTTAAGTCTAATTTCATGTTAAGTCTAATTTAAAATTAGACTTAAAATGATTTAAATTAGACTTAAAATGATTTAAATTAGACTTAAAATGATTTAAACTAGACTTAACATGAATCAAACTGGACTTAACATGAACCAAACTGGATTTAACACGAATCAAACTGGACTTAGCATGAACCAAACTGGACTTAACATGAACTAAACTAGACTTAACACTAAACCGGATTAAAATTAGACTTAAAAAGAATTAAATTAAGATTTAACATGAATCAAATTGGACTTAACATGAAATTAGACTTAAAATAAGTTGAAAAAGACTTCACATGATTCATGTTAAGTCTAATTCAACTTATTTTAGACTAAAAATAAGTTAAAATTAGACTTAACATGATTTAAATTAGACTTAAAAGGAATTAAATTAGGCTTAACATGAATCAAACTTAACATAAAATTAGACTTAAAATATGTTAAATTAAACTTAACATGATTCATGTTAACTCTAATTCAACTTATTTTAGATCTAAAACAAGTTAAAATAGACTTAACATGATTTAAATTAGACTTAACATCAACCAAACTGGACCTAACATGATAGATCTAGAGAGAACAAGAGGGAGGAGGAAATGAGGGTATTTTGGACTTTTATATTTGTTTCTCTCTCTTTGTGCTTAGTTAGCATGATAATTACATGAAAAAAGACAGCAACATATGATGTGATATTTTTTCGGGTTGAACCACATGGAAAAAAATAGAGGGGCTGCAGCACATGAAGATTTTACTTTTGGGGCATTGACACAATTTTTCCAAGAAACTTTGGTGGACATAATTTTCTATTTGAATTTAAAAAGATTTTTATGAGGTGGAATTTATATTTATTTTTTAGTTTCTTTATTTAATCTTGCAGTCTTTCCTCCCACCAAATTGGCTGTAACATTTGTTGCAAGCTTTTTCTACAAAATGCAAGTCCATTTACCTTTTCTAATGACAAAATTGTAAACCGAACTAGCACTAAAAAAAGTGAACCAAACAATATATTTATAAATTTGGTTACTCTATTTACACTTGCAACTCTATTTTCATACAACCAAATAGGCCCTTAGATGTTAATTTTTTTATGACGCAAGTGCCTTTAGTTTTTAATCGACCATTTTTGTCAGTTTCTACTTGATTAATATCCAAAAATATTCAAACTATCCTCATTAATTGCACGTGCCTAACATGTTTTTAAAGGAAAAACTTGGTGTGTACCAGCCCCCCGTATTATTCTCCTTGTGTTTTAGCCACAAATACAATGGATTTTTGTAATTCGGCCCTCTTTTTACTCTACCTCAAAGAATGTCCATAAAAATTCCAAAAACACCCCCTCATCTTCTCCTCCTAACGTTCCTCCCTTTTGTGATTCAGCCGTCTCTCTTTTGTGATTCAGCCTCCTCTCTTCCTCTACTCATACTCTCTCCTAGCACTCCTCCTCTCCCTCTTCATCTTCGTAACAAAATATAAGACAACATAGTATTACATGCAAGTTTAGCAATATGAGACAACGTCATGGCATATTCTTATGTATTATATGTTTTGGAGAGAGTAGCATGGCATATTCTTATGTATTATACGCACGCACGCACAATTCTCTCACCATGCACACACGCACCATAACCTCACCCACAATTCTCTCACCATGCACGCACGCATGCACCATCAACACCATCATCAACACGCATGTACGCACGCACAATTCTCTCACCACACACGCACACACGCACTCTAACCCCTCCAACAATTCTCTTTCCATGCACGCGCGCACGCACCATCAATACCACCATCAACACGCATGCACGCACACACGCACGCACGTACAATTCTCTCACCATGCACGCACGCACCCTAACCCCACCTACAATCCTCTCACCACGCATGCACGCACCCACCCTAACCTCACCCACAATTCTCTCACCACACACGCACGCACCATCACATAAAGACATTATAAGTATATATTTTTGGCTTTGTATTAGGGTTAGGGTGTGTGTGTAACAATTTGTATCAGTGTGTATCAATGTGTATGATATCATTTAGTCATGAAGAAAATTTCAATTCATAACTAAGTAAGAATTATATATTTAATTCATTAAATTAAAAAAGTAAAGTATATATATTACCTGAACCGCCATAAACCGTCTCCTATATGCCTCCTGAGTCTCCTGAGGCAGAGTCGACATGAACTGTGATAACTCCAATTCTCTTTGCTACTGCCGCCTCCGTTCTTCCTCCGCCATCCGGTG